ACCACCATTGAAACATGCATTCAGGGAAGCTAATGGGGTAGCGGACGCCTTAGCCAAGAATGGATGCAGTCTGGACTCTTTTGCTGATTTAAACTTGTACTATTATCTGCCTGTATTTGCTATTTCAGTTTTTAATAGAGATGGGATAGGCACTGCGTGGCCTAGACAAATCTCATGTTGTAATGACTACTAAGTTTATGTTATGAATAAATGTCTCTAATTACCCAAAAAAAAAAAACAAATCCATTCATGACTAATCATAAACATTTACCTAAAAGAGACAAGAAAATGAGGCAAAAGTTACTTGAGGAAGAAAAATTATGTAACCTGGTGATTGAAAAAAAGAGAGGTGTATTTCTATCAAACAATAAAAGTTACATTTAAGTATAAAAAAACTAAATTATAATTAACAAAAGTAGTTTTGTTAATAGAAGTAAAATTTAATTACAATGGAGAAGGGTTAAATCTTGAGGGGCGGGTCATAAAACCTGGATCCACATAAACGAACCCGAAAAGGAAGAGTTGAGAATTTCAAGGGCAAAGATCATTTTTAATTCGCGGCCAAATCTGTCGCAAAAATGTATAAAATTTATATATTTTTTGTATGTAATATACCAAAATGTAATAATATACAAAAAATAGATATTTGTTGGCCACTATTTTGAGATCGACTATACATTATTCTCTCCGTTTTAGTTTATGTGAATCTTTTTTTATATATTCAAACTATATAAACTTTTACTAACATTTTGAAATGCATTTTTCATTGTATTGATTTGAGTGCCACTGATACTCAAAGGTAAGTTTTACAAAGCGGTAGTTAGACCGGCCATGATGTATGGAGCTGAGTGTTGGCCAGTTAAGAACTCATATATCCAAAAGATGAAAGTAACAGAAATGAGGATGTTAAGGTGGATGTGCGGGCACACTAGGATGGATAAGATTAGGAATGAAGATATTCAGGAGAAAGGTGGGCGTGACTCCCATTGATGACAAGATGCGGGAAGCGAGACTCAGATGGTTCGGACTCGTACAAAGGAGAAGCCTAGATGCTCTAGTAAGGAGGTGTGAGCGGCTGATTTTGGAGGGCACGAGAGAGGTAGAGGACGGCCTAAGAAGTATTGGGGAGAGGTGATCAGGCAGGACATGGCGAGGCTTCAAATTCCCGATGACATGACCCTTGATAGGAAGCTGTGGAGGTCGAGTATTAGGGTCGTAGGTTAGGAGATAGTTGAGTCTTTCATTACTTCGTCCCTTTGTGAGGCTAGTCTGGTAGTTTTTCTAGTCAGCTAGTGGTAATGTTGTGTCTTATTACTATTTTACTACTATTTCATTTTTCATAGCGCCTGGTCTATACACTGTCTATCGTTTTTCCTTTGCATCTACTTTCTCATCTTCATGATGTTATTTTTCCTCTGTTTTCTACTGGAGGTACTGATATTGGGTCTTTGTGTTTTCATCTTCTTGAGTCGAGGATCTTTCGGAAACAGCCTCCCTACTTCTTCGGGGTAGGGGTAAGGTCTGCGTACACACTATCCTCCCCAGACCCCACTTGTGGGATTTTACTGGGTTGTTGTTGTTGTTGTTGATTTGAGAAGAATTGTAACTTATAATTTTTTGTATAGTTTTTGAATATTTAAATTTTAACTCTAAAATATCGAGTTAATTTAATTCAACTTAGCTTTAAAAATTAATCAAATTGACTATGGAAAGCGAAAACATTCATGTAAACGGAAACGGAGAAAGTATCATTTCCCCGAATCTATGCCATATTAAAAGCACGAAGGCCCTTAGCGAAATGTCGTTCGACTTTTTTGCCTCTTAATAGTAGTGTTCACATTGGACAAGATTGTAATTAATTATTTTTCTAATATTTAGGATCTTGAAATCAAATAAACTTTTTTATATTAAATTTTTCTTTATTTAAGAATTTGAGATTGAGTAATATTTTACCTCAAAATTTTCTATAAATTAGGCCAAGTAATAACACCTCACTTTTAAGTTCCTTTCACGTTAAGTTATGGATTCCAACAAGAAAAAAGGACCGAAATCTATAGTTATTTCTTTAAAGAAATACTTTTATAAGGTAAAATTTAAATGAACTTTAAAATTCTAAATATTATGAATTTCTACATAATTAAAATGAGAAAATATTTAATAATTTTTTAATTTAATTTTAAAGTTATAAATATTAAAACATATCTAATGTGAAATTAATTTATAAAGGTAAAAAAGATGGATGATATTTTGCTAAAAATAAAAAATTTAAAATAAATAATATTATTTAAAACATGTGTTTGCTTTATAATATAAAACTTAACGAAAATTTGCAAGTTCTAAAATGATAGATGTGTTAATCATGAATAATGTACAAACTCAAACGTGTAGGTACTTAAATTATATCATAAAAAATATCTAACTAAATTTAACTTTAGGTAAACTAATATTAATTAAAACTTCAAAGGGTAAAAGGAACTTTCCACGTTATAAATGCTTGGATAAAATTATTGTTAAATTTAAATATTTAAAGCTTAATATGAATTTCGATCAACAAAAAAATTATTTCCTTTAAGGTTGAGAGCAAATAATTAATGTCTAAATTAATTAACTATTTAGCAATTAAAAGTATCCAATTCAATTTATTTACAAATTAATTATATAAGTAAAAATTATTTTTCAAAATGAAAAATTACTAGGCTACATAAAATTGTTTTTATAAGAAGACCATTGGTAGTAACGATATAAAAGCAAAATAGTTATTTTATAATATTAAAAGTCAAATTGGTAAAACTATAAACTTAAATCAATATAATAAAACTGTATTAGATAGAATGCATTCTAAAATGAATGAATTGGTATTAAGTTTTTGTTTCTTTTCACATTTATTTCAACACATAATAGCTCCCTATATTTTTTTTTATATTAAATTATATTGGTAAACTATTAAGGCAACATTAGTAATTTAGACTTTGCATCATTACCTGTCCATTTTTTTTTTAAATCTCTAAAATACCAAACGATTTAACTTTTTAATTTATTTAATTTGAAAAGATTTTTGTGATTTATTTGTTTTCACGTAAAAGAAAATAAGTTTAAAATCACAATAAAACATTTAAGGATTTTTTTGGAGTAGACTTTTATCCATTGAGCTAGCTAGATGAGATTAGTATTCATTATTTTTAAAAACTTATCCTTTTTAAAATTTTATTTTTATATTATATGATTTTTAAAAATTAATATAAATAAACGTTTAAAGTGCGTACCTTAATACTAGTTCAACGAAAAGAGACAAAGGTGAGAGAGAAGAAACGGATAAACCGTCAGTCAAATGGAGGCCACGTTGTTCTCTCAAATCAGAGTTCCCTTATTTACCCGTCGCACCTGTCTCCCACTCTCTATGTATTTTTCTTATCTCCACACGCTTCTATTCCGTTTCATTCGGCCCCCTCCCTACCCCCCCCCCCACCCAAACCTCTTTTCCTCCCCTATCCTGGTGCCTTCTATATATACATACATTAACCTTATATGTATAGTGTTCTCCATTTTCTCAATTGATTTGTTGATTCTGTAAAGAGGAGGATGTCGCGCAGCAGCTCGCAGTCTGGAACCAACGGCCACAACTCTTTTACGAGCGCCGGCGAGTCGTCGCCGGCGGCCGTATCTGGCGGCGGAGGAGAGATCATGCTGTTTGGTGTGAGAGTGAAGGTGGACCCCATGAGGAAGAGTGTGAGTTTGAACAATCTCTCTCAGTACGAGTTGCCTAACGGTAGCGACAACATCAATAACAATAGCAACAGCGGAAATAACAATGAGTCTTCTAAAGTGGCTGACGAGGGCTACGCTTCCGCCGATGACGCTGTTCCTCACCACTCCGTCAGTGGCCGTGAGCGTAAGCGAGGTTAGATCTCTGATCATCCTGTTCTGTTTTTTCTCGTTGGCATTAATCATCGAAGCTCACTCTTGTTTGTCGGTCTTCTCTACTTCACAATTGTTGATATTGTTTTTTATCCTTTTCTAGTTTCTTTCAATTCCTTTGGCTTTGAATCGTCTTATAACTCAACGTGTTAATAGATCATCTGTTGTTTTAGTCTCCTCACACATCTCGATTTCTAGTGCTACAGTCAAACCTCAACTAGTTTGTTCCAACATTCTTTTGCTTGCTACAGTCAAGTGCTATTATAGAGCATAACATGAAAAATTGATTCTAAAGAAAACTTGGCCGTGTCGTTGTATTAAAGTGCTATTATAGAGGATGATTGCTATAGAGATGTATTACTGTATTTGCTCCGTCTCTTTACACAATTATCAAGCTTCTGTTGATAGTTTTCTGTTGTACGAGATTGGTTTATTTCTTTATCGACCGTTGAAATAGTTGTGGTGCACCTGTTGTCTAGTCTCTGGTTTTCAACAAGTATTGATTTTGATCAAGTTGGCTATCTTTTGGATTTCATTTTAGGAGTTCCATGGACGGAGGAGGAGCACAAGTTATTCCTTTTGGGATTGCAAAAAGTGGGAAAAGGAGACTGGAGAGGTATTTCTAGAAATTTCGTCAAGACTCGAACACCTACACAGGTCGCGAGTCATGCTCAGAAATACTTCCTCCGGCGAACCAACCTCAATCGTCGCCGCCGCCGTTCTAGCCTCTTTGATATCACCACTGACTCAGTATGTAATTCACTCTATCACAAATTTCATTTATTACCAATTGAATAGCTTGCCTTTTAACTATTTTGATCAAAATCAGAAGGAAGTTTTGGTGTTCTAGAATTTAGTTCCTAATCTTTACTTCTAATGACAAACAGGTATCTTTAGTGCCGATAGAAGAAAAGCAAAATCTGCAAGAACACCAAGTTCTGGCACCAACATCATTGCCTCCTGTAGAAAATTCCAAAATCAATGCATTTCAGGTGACACCTTTGCCAGTAACTTTTGGGCAAGGAGATCAAATTAATAAGAATTCATCTATATTCCGCCGGCCGGTTCCTGCTCTTCCACTGTCTAATTCGTCAAGAATAGCTGACTTTAACTTGAATCAGAGCTCAGCAATGGAAGCATCTTCATTGTCGTTGACATTGTCCTTGTCACTAAATCAAAGCCAGTCATCATCTACTAGGCACTCAGCATTTCAAGTGATGTCAAATTTCAATAATGGAGAGAGCATTATCAGTGTGGCATGACATACAAGAATCTTTTTTAGAATAAGAATAATTATTAAAAGCTAGAAAAATGAAGTAATAACATAGAAAAAGGCAAATGGGAGTTTATAATTCTATATTATTATTATAAGGTGAGATAAGGTACTTAGTTGACTATGATGTATGGTCCTTTTGTTTTGTACAGACCAGAAACTCGTCATGCCTTGCTGTACCTGTTTTATGCTACTTATATTATGTTAGTGTCTTCTTTATTTGTTTTGTTTCATTTGTTTGTTGTTGGGGAGGAAAAAAATAACTCTGAATAACATCGGACATTGTGCTTGTTGCTAATATTAATGGGCTGGCTGAGTTTAGTGGTCTCCACTGTGGTTTCATAAGGTGAAATGTATCAAGTGGGTAACTGGTGAATTCAGTGTTAGTTTTCCATTAAAACGCACAATCCATCAATCTTGGTTGATGAATTTGGAAGGGATTTGGTCCTCATTCATTGCAGTGGACAATAAGCGATGGTAGGACCATTCCAATTTCTGCTGTTGTTAGGTCATGTGATGTGTTATCTAAAATCCTTATTGGGTTATGATATCTTGCTCATGTGGTAGATTTTCAAATGAAAAAAACGGAATACATAAGCAGCCCCTAAAACAGAAAATTTCTCTCAAGACTTATAAATTACTATGACCATGGCCCCCTCTCTCTTCAACAACATAACTTCGTCAAATTAAAACAAATACACAAACAGAAATCTAGCACACAATTTTACAGAAAAATTCAAGAATACACCCAGCTAAGAAAGAAAAATGCACACCCAGCTTCGGAAAGAAGAATTTTCAGCTCATCACACCCGTTTAATTTCATTTTACTTTCGTAATTGTTGAAAATTGTTGTTGTTCTCTTTGGGTCTGGTGTGAGGTTTGTTGGTTTATTCGGGAAATACTAACTCTGTACTTCCATTGCAAGTAGACCCAGAAGCATTTTTCTTAATTATTTGCTTGATATTCCATAATAGGTTCAGCATTGTTCATCCAGTTAGAAAATAAAAACTTTGGCCATAATTCGGTGGATGACATATGACAATCTCGCCGAGGATGATCTCCGATATGGTCTAACAGAGGAAAGTCTTTAAAAAAAAAAAAAAGAAGGGAAATCCTTGTGGGAAAGAAGACCGATGGAAAAAAAATATCATAAACTAACAGAATAAGCTATAAACTAATTGAGATTTGAAAACAACTAATTTTCTAAGAAGAAGAAGAAGATGAACGGGGGAGTAGAGTTGGGAAAAAAAAAAACAGAGTTGCTTTCTCTTTTTTAATACTCAAATTTTTTGTTTAAAAAAAAGAAAAGAAATTGCCTCAAAGTTTTTTTGGGAAAGAGCCACATGTCTATTTTTCATTGGTTTTTGCCACATCACCAAAGGGTGAACTCCACGTATCTTGTTTTCTGGGTTGCTTCAGCTTCTGGTGTGTGATAGGCACAATTTGAATGGAGATAGAGGGCTCAATAGGTCGTGAGTTTAGTTTGAGTGTCTATGTGAAAAAAAGGGCCGAGTTTAAAGGGCTATCTATATATTCAGCCAAAAAGGCGGAACACATAATGTGCTACCTATGTATTCAGCCAAAAAACGATGATATTCAATTGATTTTTCTTGACTAGACCCAAAAGGATCGCAACGATAATGGACACCAATATTTGGTCCATTGGAATTTCACGCTCGCAAGACGAAGAGGGTGTTTGGCTAAACTTATAAGTTGGTCAAACTGGCTTATAAGTTTTTTTTGGCTTATTTACGCGTTTGGTAAAATTAATAGTGCTTATAAGTCAAAAATAAGCCAAAAGTTCTAAGTTGGTCTCCCCCAACTTATTAAATTTCAGCTTATAAGCACTTTAGGTTTGACCAAAATATTTACTATTCTATCCCTAAAATACTTCTTTTTAAAACAAAACTCTTCGTATACCTAGTTCTTCAGCTGCTTATTATTAATTTCAGCACTTTTATCCAAACACGTAACTGCTTATTTTTTAAATCAGCTTCAGCACTTAAAAGTGCTTTTCAGCACCTAATGCTTATTAGCTACTCTAAATCAGCTAAGCCAAACGGGCACAAAATTCAACTAAACATGAAATATGAGCTTACCAATTCTTGACTGAAGTAACCCTGAAACACACTGAAGATATTGTACTCCCTCCGGTCCACAAAAATAGTTAGTGTGACAAAACTATCCTTAATTAAATGTTGTAGCATAATTTAATGTGAGGACTAAAAGACTTTTCAGGGATAAATACATAAGGGTAATTTTGGAAAAACAAATTGAATTTTTTCTTGATTATATAAATGGACACTTATTTTGGACAAAAATAAAAAGGCAAATTGATCACTAATTGTGGACCGAAGGGAGTAAAGATTATGAGCTTGCGAATTCATAAAAGCATTTTCTCCTGATTAACAAGATTTATCGATGTTCATACCACAAGATTTAAGTATGAAATCTATAGAGCCACATCTCACTATGTAGTATGTAATATGAAGCTTCTTCAAATATTAACAGATACCTTCAACTGGCATTAAAATTGCCAAAAAACTTAACAAGTGAAGTGGTAGTGTATAGGTAATATGTACACCATGTAAAGGCATAAAAGATGGTAATTACACCGAATAAAGAAAATGAAAAGCTGTCCAAGGATGCACTTGCATGGACAGCAATAATTATTTGTAAGATGCTAGAGCTTCTTGACCAAATTGCAGCTCTAGGGAGACAGTAAAAATCATCGATCAAGTACCCAGCAGTCCAGCAGTATTGAGATTTAAGGAGCAACACAATCAATCCAACCATGGGTGGATTGCAGAATGTGGGGCTGAAAATGATATCTGACATATTCCCATCCAATGAGAGACAATGATATGGAGAAGAGATACGAAGGATGCCAAAAGAGAGTCATAATCGACACTGCTCAAATGCTACTAGTACCACAACGCGTGATGTGGGGGTTAGGGGCACATCACGGTTCAAACCTTGTCACAGACTAAAGTTCCGTAATCATTTGGAGAAGGGTGTAGGAGTGACACCAATATCCTACGACTTTCGAACCGTGCGCCACTAGCATTCGGAGAATTCTTGGTTATAAAAATAAAAATAAAAGAACAGCTACTAGTGCCAACCAATAACCCATAATAACCTGCTGAGAGAAGATTATAAATCCAGCAGTACAAGCCTCTGTCTCCCCCTAAGCATGTTTTAAAGGGAATACATCCCCATTCAATGTAAAACAAAGAGATCAGTCAATTTTAGAGGAAAAATAACACCCGTTGATGCCAAAAGAAAAAACAGTAGCATTTGAACAGCACTACATGTGAATAACCACAATTCCCAAATATGAATAGGGGTATAAATATCTGCTGTAGAACAGCACAGAAGTCAATTTTAATGATCAGCTTAAGATATGAAACCAGCGGGGTTAAGGGAAAAAACAGAGAAAATGAAAGCAAAGGCTGGAAACTTGACTTTCTGTGGCTATTCAAGAAAAAAGCTTCCTGGAAAGTCCAGCACAATATTAATCGTGAAACTGACATTTCCTTCCAACATATTCCCACTTTCTGGAAACAAAAACTATATATAGTACATTAATATTGCAACTACCACTAACTGGTCACAGTATCCTGAACTGTGGACAAAATCGCTAACTAGTTTGTCAACTCGACGAAGTATAGCAGACAAGCCACTGTTTTTCCAACTAAGATATACTAGCCCCATCTTGACACCAAGTGTCCAAAGCTGCTTCAATCCGATATCAAAAGGCAGTTTCTAAATGGTCATAGTAGAAAGGGCCGATATCCAATTTACAGGCCAATGCTGCCACATTCAGAAAGCTACAATGAGCAGTTTGGGAACTAAATAAAACCGAACTTATCATTTACTAACTTACCCTGAACTAGTGAGCAACTTCCCCAAAACTAAGTTTTGAGAGGAAAATATTTCATAGGTACCCCGGAAGATTGATACCAGCACTAAGAAAGTCAAATTTAAGAAGATTCTATTCTACTTTTCACATTGCAACTTGCAAGGAACAGTGAGAAGCCAAATAGTACCTATGCCTTAGACTAGCCATGTAGCAAATGCCTCAAAGACCAGCAGGTACTTGAAAAACCTGATAGGAATGGAAACACTAGATACAGAAGCAATAAGATGCCTTCTGTAAGTCAGTTTCTCACCTTGAAGAACTATGAGTGCCACATGGCATTTCACTTTAGATTGTTTAATTTCTAGAGCCTTTTCGGGCTAATTAACCAGTTAGAGTTTCCACAGAAAGAGCTATGAGAAATTGGACTTTTGACGGACAGATATTGTTACAAACACCAGCTAGGTCAGCTTGAAATGAACTCACCTTGATTGTCATCCCCATGTTCGAAAAAAAATTCTCTTGTACAGCAGCGTCAACCAAAAGACCTCAAGCATGAAACTTTAACACTTAACCACTTATCCTACTTGTGCATTGAAGAATTACAAAAACAGCATTAGTTCAAACAGCATAAATAGATTAGGATAATAAGCAGGGCATGAACAGTAATTGCCTCGGGGCTTTTATATTTCCTGGTGCTCTCAATTTTGAGTCCTTGACTAAGATTACTAGAACCCAGCAGAAGAATGCTTCAACCCTCTCTCCCACAACTATTTCTTTCTACGAACCAATTTCAACTCAAATTCGGGCCTCCTTCAATGATTATTAGAAGCAACATTTCCAACGATACTATAAATCCAAGCAAATAACCTTTTGAAGGAATAATGAAACTTTCTCCAAAAACATAATCTGAAAGCAATCCATAATTCTAATTACAAGAAGATGTTCATGAGAATGAAAAACAGGAATCTTAATATGCACTCTATGAAGGAATCTGAAGTAATTGCTACTAAATCAACTTAGAGATAACAATTAAAGAAAGGAAATTAAACATAGCAGAAAGAATGAGAGGAAATAGAAGAGAATCAGAAAATAAGCAAAAGAAAGATCAGTTTATCATTCAAGTCTGCCTTCGCAAAATGGAAACATACGCAAAATTCCCTTTCCCTTCTAGAACAGACCTGAGGACTAAAATCTGAATAATTAAACTGATTTTGACCAAACATCTTCAGTTGGACGTACCGTCCCAAATTCACCAATTCTGACACCAGGGAACCGTAATCACGACAGAATCCAAATCAACACAGAGTCGGTGTGACCCACATCGGTGGAGTAAAACGATTTCGGGAAAGAGACTTAAATTGACCCTTCAAGGTGCCATCTGCTATATTGAAAATACCCATGTCCAAGCCGCCCCCTTCTACATAGTCACTGTATTGTTCATAAAAATCATCAGTAAAATAAATACAATTGGGGTTAACTCCAGGAAATTGAGAAGCTTGGACTGACAGAGATGCATTAGCACCCAAAAAGATAGCCCTGTCCCCTATTTGTTTGGTTTCCGTCAATGTACCAGCAGCTAAATCAACCTCGTAAACTCGAAAAGAATTTGTATGAAAAATGAGCCGGACCTCCTCATCATCATAAACTTCACGCTCAAAGACAGGTGTGAATGGAAACCTGGGCATTCCCAAACTACCATGTCGCACAACTACAAGTAATGATCCTAGTGATTCTAAGATGTAGTATTCAGCTCTCCTGTGATATCCCATTTGATAGATATCCATTGATGAAGGCAACTGAGCTACTTTTTGAGCCTCAGCACTAGTAACATTGCAAACTAGCACATTGCCTTGCATATCAACTGCATAAAATTTGCCATTAAAGTAAACCACATCGCAATGTTGATCACAAGAATGAGGGTCATAGTTTTCTCTTCTAATCCTGGTCCATTTCAAGTCTCCTGGCCTCCAAAAACTGAGGTACTTATTTTCTCCCTCAATAACCATAAGAACATAATCTGATGTTTTAGAAGGACTAGCCGACAAAACAGCCTTGTCAATAAAATTCCATATATATCGAGTCTTGTTGCGGGTACAATCTTCAGTGGTATTTTGATGAGGCAGTTCAATCTGAACACCGGAAAAAGGATGCAGCAGACTAATTTCACCGTCTATTCCCAAATCCACTGTGACAAGCCATCCCATAGACTCCAGACATCTTTTTCCGTTGGCTTTTGGTATCCTCGTCTTGAAAATCAAGTCATTGCAGAGGTTGAAGAACTTTCTACATGAATTAACGTCGCTTCCTTCTTCCTCGGCTAACATAAGCCATGGAACCCTAGGCAGGTCACTGTTAAAATTTTCCTTGGTGGCCGCAAGTTGCCAGGGTTTGCAGACAGCGGCGAAATTAAGGTAGTCTTCAACCAAATTCAAACGCCTGGCTACGTGAACTAGCACATCATACTCAAGTTCTGACCAATTCGGTATCAAAGATGTACTACTACATAATGTCCTTTTCTTCTTTTTCTTCTCCTCCGGATTTTTGGGACAAACTCCAACTATAAACCCTAGCAGTACCTTTTGTTCTTCCTCTAACTATTTCCCTGACTTTACTCTTCGCCAGTATCTATTTTCCTTCCTTTTCTCATCTTTTTTTCCGCTTCTAACTCTTAGCGAATACTTATCATACACTAGTCCCTCTCCACTTGAATATATGTAAAAATATTTAATATGTACAGACTTAAAAAATATTTAATTTTATTTCTAAATATACCAAAAGTTAGCATTCTAGCATAACATTAAGAACTTTTATTAATAAAGTGAAAAGGCATACTTGTCGAGCAACTCTATCTCCGTTCTTTTAGCATCACGCTATCAATGAAACTTTAGTAGATCTCCCTTATGAAATTTAATTTAATACACGATGTTGGAAGCAATATTTTTTTGATAATCTTTATCTCTTTATATCTTTCAGCTTTAACAATATGAATTGCTCCTTGGCATGATTTGTCTTCTCAAGGTTAATTGCTCTTTTCTGCGAGAATATTCAAACTTCGTTTTCTTTATCTTAATGCAAATGTCCTGCATAAAATCTTTAACTTTATCATATACAACTATAAGTAATATTTGGTTATACATCAATAAGTTTTTATCTTTTGAATAACAATTAGGTAATCAAGTGAGATAAAATTCAAGGAAAGGTCCATATATCTCCTAGCTATAATACTCAAAAATAAAATCTTAAAGCTTGATTGCCACGATCATTTCTTAACATTAGCTTTTTACACCTAGGAATCATCTTTCTAATCTTCCCATTTAACTGAACGAGATTTAGATTGCAGCAATATAAATTCAACAAAGAAGCATTTATAAGACGTGAAAACAAAAGTTTCTCCGCTCTTCTTTTATATATTCTTCTTTCTGCAAGTAAAATTTGAAACATATCTATTAAAAATGAACTAAGAAGACAGTAGCATTAGATGTCTGTTAAACATGATTAGAATGAGGAGAAATATAATCATATATCTCACGGTCTTCATAATTGGTTGTTCCTTACTCTTTTATGAATACATATCAATCTTGTCGTATTGGGACCTAATTTCTAAAATTCTTTAGTTCTAATCTGATCTAGTGGCGAAGAACAACACTTGACAATTTCCGTAAAGCTTCTCGTTGCATCTCCTTGGTCGCCATTTGGATGATACATATATGTCAAAAATAAACCAGAAAAATGACGGCCGACAAAATAGAAAGGATCATTGAGACTTCTTCACATACCATTGTTTCTGTTCGGTATACTAAATTTACAAAGGAGATCAAATGGTTGCAAGAAAATATTAGACAGACTTACTTTAAGGTATCTCCATTGCATGACCATATATAGTACTCCAACCTTATTATAATAATATGATAGAAACGTGAAATGTATGCAACTCTTTGCGTAAAGTTGTTGTGACGATCCGGCCAGTCGTCTCATGTGTTCCCGTTCTGTTTCCCCCGTTTCTGCTTCTTATTGCTTTGTTTATCGGTTCTATGTGTGATCGGGTTGGTTGGCTCGGGTTCGGAGAGGTTTTTGGTGAGGTTTGAGACACTTAGTCTCTTTTGAGGAAGCTTAAGTTGGAAAAGTCAACCAGATGTTGACCTATGTGTTAGAGGGCTCGGATGTGAGTCCCGATGGTTTGGATAGCTTCGGGAGGTGATTTGGGACTTAGGAGCGTGATCAGAATGTGTTTTGGAGGTCCGGAGTAGATTTAGGCTTGAATTGGCGAAATTGGTATTTTGGCGTTTTCCGGTTGATAAGTGAGATTTTGATATAAGAGTCGGAATGGAATTCCGGGAGTTGCAGTAGGTCCGTTGTGTCATTTGGGATTTGTGTACAAAATTTCAGATCATTCGGACGTGGTTTGGTAGACTTTTTGATCAAAAGCGGAATTCGAAAGATTTTTGAATCTTAGGCTTGATTTCGATGTGATTTGGTTGATTCGATGTTGTTTGAGGTGTTTTGAAGATTGGTACAAGTTTGAGTAGTAGTATATGATGTGTTTGTGTTTTTGGTTGAGGTCTCGGGGTGATTTCGGATAGTTGGCGGAAAGTTGGAAGTTGGTTTTGGCAGCTGAAGATGTTCCATTGCTGTCATAACCACACATGCGGCTAGGGGACCGCAGGTGCGGACTCGCAGAAGTGAGTTTGGAGTCGCAGAAGCGGAAAGAGCCTAGGAAGGCAGGAAACGCAGAAGCGGTTGAGGAACCGCACCTGCGATGGCGCAGGTGCAGATTAGGCATCGCAAATACGGAGACTGAGGGGCTTAAGTGAAAACCGCAGAAGCGGTTCATGGACCGCAAAAGCAGTACCGTAGAAGCGGTATCTGGACCGCAGGTGCAAAAAAGTCTAGGCCAGAAGGTATAAAAGCACTCCTTCGCGATTTTTGAGTTGTTCTTCACCATTTCAAGTCGGTTTTGGAGCTTTTTGGGAGATTTTGAAGAGGGAATCGAGGGATATCGTTTGGAGGTAAGATTGTTGAACCTAAAACTCGTTCCTATGGCATTATTTCACTGATTTGGCCTAAGATTAATGGAAATTAAGGATTAAAAATTGGAGAAACTAGGGCTTGGTATTGGAGACCTAGACTTGAGGATTTGAGGGGTCATTTGTGGTCGGGTTTTGGGATTTTTGATATGTATGAACTCGTGGGGAGATAAGAAATCTATTGATGTAAATTTTATCGAATTCCGAGACGCGGGCCCGGGGGTCGGGTTTTTGGTAATTTCGGGATTGATGTTGTAAATTGATTATTTTCGCATGGGCTTCGTTCCCTTAGCATATTTTGACGTCGTGATTTTGAGTTTTGGATAGATTCGATGCGAGTTGAGGCCGATTCGAGGGGCAAAGGCGTCGCGGGCTAGAGTTTCGACCGGATTGAGGTGAGTAATGATTTTAAATGTTGTCCTGAGGGTATGAAACCCCGGATTACATATCGTTGTGCTATATTGAGGTGACACACACGCTAGATGACGAGCGTGGGATCGTGCACCGTTGGGGATTGTGACTTAGTCCGTCCCGAATGACTGTTTTACCGCGTATTTGAATGGAAACTGTTTGCTATCATCATGTTTTGGGCTGAATGCCATATTTGGGCCTCGTGCCAACTATTTGGACCATTAGGGGATTTTACTGATATTTAAAATGATAATTTGGGCTGAGCATCATGTTTTACCCTAGCCCTAGTGGCTTATGAGATTCTGACTGGGTAAGGCCGAGGGCCTGTGTTATGAGGATACACTGATTTATGATTATGAGGCCGAGGGCCTGAGATTGTACCACGAGGTGGCTTGTTGATATGAGGCCGAGAGCCTATTGATTATGCCACGAGATGGCTTGATATTGCGCTTGGGCCCTAAGGGGCCCCTCCAGGAGTCTGCACACCCCCAGTGAGTGCGGGTACCCATTGTGATATGAGATATAGCTCGAGGGGCTGGTATTGTTCCATGTGTTGCCCGAGGGGCTGATTCTGTTGGTATTTTGCCCGAGGGGCGGTTCTTTATGTGTTTATCTTTTCTAGCTGCCTGTCATTTACTTGCTTAACTGTTAAAAAGGCATTTTTAACAGCTTAAACTGAACTAAGGTGACTTTACATGTTTTCACTGGCTTTATACTGCTTCTTTATAGCCTGTTGATGCGCTTTTACGTGATTTCATATTGCTCAGTCTTCATTTATTATTATTACTCACTGAGTTGGAGTACTCACTTTACTCCCTACACCCTGTGTGCAGATTCAGGTGTTTCAGGTCCTGCTTGCGAGGGTTGAGAGCTTCTAGCAGATTTCGGAGATTCACTAGGTAGTTGCTCGGCGTTCGCAGCCCAGTGCTTCTCCCTCTATCTTATCTTCTCTTGTTTTAGTTTTGTTATAGACTATGTAGACTCTTCCTGCTTTTAATCGGTTAGTAGATGCTCGTGACTGGTGACACCCGATATCGGGCTATGTCTATTTCGCAATTGTAATGTTTCACCTTATTTTGGGATTTTAATTATGTTAAAGACTTAATTTGTATTATTTAATTTCTTAACACGAATTGGGAGTGTGTCGGCTGGCCTTGTCTTCACGAGAGGCGCCATCACGATCGGGTTCGGGTTTGGGGTCATGACAAGTTGGTATCAGAGCCTAGGTTATATAGGTCTCACGAGTCATGAGCAGGTTTAGTAGAGTCTCGCGGATCGGTATGGAGACGTCTGTATTTATCCTCGAGAGGCTGCAGAACCTTTAAGAAAAACTTCATATTCTTGAAATTCTTGTCGTGCGAATCTGTTGATCCGATTACTAACTTCTGTTATTCTATTCTCTCACAGATGGTGAGGACACGCGCTACCGGTCAGGATGGACGACCACCAGTAGCACTAGCTGTGGCCACTAGAGACCGAGGACGCGGTCGTGGTCGCGGTAAGGGCAGGGGTGTGGCTCGCACAGCAGCTAGGGCAGCACCTGTAGATCCACCAGCCGTCCCAATTTAGGATCAAGTCCCAGTTGTGGACGCTCCAGCAGCACCAGCTCAGGCACCAGCTGTGCCCATTGTGATTCCGGGTCTTCAGGAGGCCTTGGCTCAGATTCTATCAGTATGCACTGGCCTAGCTCAGGCGGTCTCAGTTACTAATGCCGCATCTACTTCTTAGGACGGGGGAGGCAATCATACTCCTACCGCTCGCACACCTGAGCAGGTCGTGCAGGGACTTCAGACACCGGGGGCACATCCAGCCCAGCCGGTTGCAGCTGCTTAGGACTATGTAGCTCCTTCCATGCCAGAGGACGAGCATCGCAGGTTGGAGAGGTTTGGTCGACTTCATCTTCCGACTTTCAGTGGTGTAGAGGGCGAGGATGCCCAGGGTTTCTTGGATAAGTATCAGAGGATGCTTCGTATAACGGGTATTCTGGAGACCAACGGGGTCTCTTTCACTACTTTTCAGTTTTCTGGAGCTACCT